TGCAAGTATATTCTTGTATAGTTCTTATAGCAATATGGACTCTTTCTTCTCCATGTTATAATACAAGAAAAAATTGGTATCTTCAAAAAATTATGTACATTGCTGAAAAAAGCTGTGGTAGTATTACCACACTCCATCTTTGTAATGTTTGTCAATTTGTCATTTTTAGGAATGAAGTTTTAATTTTTAATTTTTTAATAATAAAATTATTTTTTATATGATTATTAGTCATAAACATGAAGGCCTATTCTATAATACATTTCAAATTGTGAAGTAATATCTCTTCAATTTTTTTTTAATAATAGATCAAAAGATTACCTTGACAACAATTTGTGTAGCTTTGATGCTATCACCAACAATATAAACTGCCTTGATCATTTGTAAAATATCTTATAGAATATCCTATAAACTTTAAAAATGATGAAATTTTTTTATGAAAACAAAGATCTATCCATACAACCATTGAAAATCACCACTTGAACCTTGTAGAATTTTCCAATTAATTGTAAAATATGATGAACTATAAAAAAAATTGTGAAGTCCACAAAATATGAAATTTTTTGATGAAAGCAAAGATCCATCCATGTGGTGTCATATTATATGAAATCTTACTTGAAAATGTACTAGACTTGAAGCTGTGGAAGGTCAAAGAAAATTGCAACAACAAGTTCTAATAATTCTAATAGAATCATATATAAAATACAATTAAATCTTAAAAAATATAATCAAATATTGATCAAGTTCAATTAAAGTTTTATAGAAATTATAAAAAAAACACAAAAATCCTAATGATTTTTTAAAGAAATAATAAAGAAATCCTCAAGAAATCCTTAAGAAACTCCAAAAAAATTTAAAAGAAATCCATAAGAATTATAAAGAAATCCACAAGAACCTTTAAAAATAAATTTAAAAATTCTAAAGAAATCCTGAATCAATCCTAATCAAATTCTAAATTCTAAACCAAATTCTAATCACAATCTAATCAATTCAAATCAAACCTAAGATAATTTTAGAACCTCAATATCTATTGATTAAATCATTTAACTTACTTAAAATATTTTATATATCTCAATTTCTTAGTTAATAATAATACAACAAATCTGAAGAGAATCAAACTTATAAAATCAGAGAAATATGTCATAATCTATTCAAATGTTGGCTTACATCTATCTTTAACCTTAGTATTGATCTTTTAGTAGCAATAATTCTTTATAAAATTATTAACTTACTATCAAATTTTGTATAAGTATTAGAAGTCAAGTCAACTATTAATTCCAATAAAAATCATTTTAATCCAATCAAAAGATTGTAGCACATCTTAGACGATTCTATTAGATCTAAAAATCTAATTTTTTAGATCCTAATTCATATGAACTTCAAAAACCTTTAATCCAACCATTCAATTAAGCTCAAATTCAGAACATATATTCAACACAATTATACTCGCAATCCTACAAAATTTCACTTATAGATCTAGTTCAAATCTTAAAAAATTGTCGAAGTTGTAAATCTTATTTTATTTCACAAAATCCAAAGTCATCCAAAACAACCTTAACTTTGCAAAGCTTTTATAAAGTCATTACAAACTAAAATTACTCAAAACCAATGCTTTAAGAAATCTTATAAAGTCTTCTTTCAAATCCTACTTTGTAATTTGCAAAAGAACCATGAAGTCATCATAGATATATGGTTTTGTCCTTAGGAATCTAATTTTGACCTAGGTTGATAATTGATTCTCTTTGAGTATGAATTTTTGGTTTCTTGAGGTATTTTTTGCTAAAATAAACTTCTAACTTCTTTGAACATATATTTATATTCTTTATTTTTCTAATCTATCTTATTTTGCCTTATTTATAGTCCTACAAAGTAAGTTGAAGCCTACTTCATAAAAAGCCAACATTAACACTTTTTGTTTACTATCCTTTGAATATTATTTATATTTCTAAGATAATTTTTTATAATATTTTAAAATAAGACCTTTTATAATATAATATTTTTTTGTTCCTTCACTTATTAGTTGTGTTACATTATAATAGTGGTGAATAAGAGCTACCTCTTGTCTCCATAAAAAATCTTAATATATAGATATATATTTTTTATTGATTAAATCAAATAATTATTTTATAGTATATTTTATTTGATTCATTTATTTTTTTAAAAAATATATTAATTTTATTTAGTAAATTTTTTATTGTAATTTAATTTAAAAGTTTTAGTAGAAATAAAAAATTTATTATATGTATACATAGGAGCGTGCTAAAGAAAATGCCCATACATCTCAAAATATATCTCAAAAAAAAACATGTTTAATTTATCAAATATAAGATATTTATTTATTCTAATTTTTTTTTCTAAAATATTATATATATATATATATATATATATATTTATATATTACTTTAGATATCAATTTAATGGTAAAAAAATTATACAAAAAAAATACTTCTTAAATACAACTTATAATTTCTGTATGATCTTTAATTCTAACAAATAAGTATAATAAATTATTCAAAAAATAATAATATAGATATATATATATATATTTAGACTAATAAATAAAACTTCAATCATTTTATAAATGAATTTGATAAAAATAAAAAGGCATAATACAATAGAATTAGACAAAAAATGTGAAGCCTTCTGTTGAAAGGCAAGAACCATCTCTAAATACAATATTCAATTGAAGCATTCAAGAAACTGACAAATGGTCATTGGAGGGACTTCATAGTATTTTAACTAGCTTCTTTTTGAAAGCATGAGAATCTTTGCAAGCATATGCAACAATATACGTTGAGTTATGTGTATTCTTGCTTAAGAATGCATTGGACACCTAGCTATGGAAGCTAAGTAAAAATGAAATAAAAATTCTATGACCTCTAATAAAATCTTAAATAATATTTGAGTATTTATTATTAATTATAATTAAAATTTAACCAATCGAAAATAAATTTAAAAGAAGTTACAAAAGAAACACAAAAGTCATAAATTAATCTGTAAAAAAAAAATTAATTTTTTTTTATAAATTATAAAAATAAATATTAAATGAAATAATAATAATATTTAAAAAATATAAGAGATAAAAACTTTAAAAAAAATAACAAAGAATATTTTAAAATAGAAAAAATTAAAAAATTAAATAAATCTTAAATAAATTCTATTTAAATTCTAATTTAATCATAATTAAAATTCTAATGAATTTTAATTAAATTTTAAATAAAATTTAATTAAAATAATAATTAAAATAATAATGATCCTTAATCAAATTTTAGGTCAAATACTAATAAAATCCGAATGCAATCCTAAATCTTAAATCAATTTTAATAAAATTCTAATAACTTGCTAATAAAATTTTAATCAATTCTTTATTAAATCCTTATCAAATTTAAATAAAATCCTAAATCCTAACCAAATTCTTATGAAATTCTAATCAGACCTTAAATTCTAAATCAATCCTAATCAATCTTTAATGAACTTTTAAATCTTCATCAAATCTTAACAAGCCTACAAAGAATTAAATATTCAATAACTTATAATTGAATCGTTAATTTGGACTCAAAATTTGCATACCTTGCAATAACTAAGTAAATAATAAGTACAAAAAATTTGAAAAAGATTGCACATACCAATAACAAGCAAAGCTTTCAAAACCTCTCAATTGTTGGCTACTCTCCTTCTCTAACTTCAATGTTGATCTTTCAACATTGATTTCTCTTTACTAAACTATTCCATCACTTCAAAAATTGGATTATGTATATATATTCAAGTCTTAATTATTTTCACCAAATTTTTCTTCAATCCAACTAGCAAATATCGCTACATCTTGGAATTACTTACTAACCTTAAATTTCAAATTTTTGAGACCATTATCTACAAAAACCTTCATCATATGCTTCAATGTAACTACTCAATTGATCTCAAATTTCTCACACATATCTACAACAAGCACAAAAAAAAATTGCCCAATTTTCACCTATATATATACTACAAAACTCAAGAAATTCTCAAATTTGTAAACATATTTCTATATTTCAAAATCTAAACCTATTGAGTACATTACTAACTTGGAAAATTCTTCAAAATCTTAATATTAATCCAAATAACATGAAACCAATACTAAAAAATCTCTCTTCCAATCTATTTTTATATTTCACTCTTTGATTTGCAAAAGAACTCTAAAGTCAATGTAGGTGCATGGTTTTATGCCTTAGGGTTTGATTTTGATCCAAGTTGACAACTGATTCTCTGTGAGTATCAATTTTTGGTAATTTGAGGTAAGACTTGTTTTAATCTATTGTTAATTCTCTCTTAAACATGCTTATATTAATTTTTTATCTCATTTATTTTGATTTGGCTCATTTATGCCTCTACAAAGTAAATAGAAGTTCCTTCTACAAAAGGCAATATTAAAACAATCATAGTGCAAAAATGAGGTACTTGCCACATGATCTAGAGATAAACTCTAATGGCACCTTGTAGATCCCAAGTGGGATAGATAAAGCTCACATGTTAAAATACCTAGGATACTAACCAATCCTCGCCGGATGCACCTGGGGTCTCAATGTAAACACTTATTCACTGCAGTAGAAAAAAAAAAAAAAACATTTTTGTCAAAATAAATGAATGAATAAATAAAAACTATAAACTGACAAAAAAATTGAGGAGAAATAAGCAGCGAGCATACCGGATTCTCAGAGAGAGGGAGATGGAGAGAAAAGCTGGACAAAAATCAGTTCTGGCAGTGCAAAGATTCCAAATCTTTCGGGAAGCTTCCAGTGGGGCGATAGCAAAAAAAGAAAGAAAGAAAAAAATGAAAAGAAAAGAAAAGAAAAAGGAGTGGAAAAAGCAAAAGGAGAGGGCGTGGAGGGGAGCATTCAACCAGCACGGGTGTGTCGGTGTGACGGGATGTGTCCACATCATCCCTCCCCTGCCCCCTCCACAGAATCATTTCTTGCACAACCCGGCCGAATCCGACCTGGCCTACCCGATCCGGCCCGGCCTGGCCCGGTGCTGGGAAAGCAAGGAGGGCGGGAGTGTCCTCGCGGGCGCTTGCCGTCGCCTCAACTGAATGAGCACGACCGCGACGTCGCCACTGCGGAGCAAGGCTGCTGCATGGGCGAGTGGGGAGACGCACCCCGGCGCTTGATCACATCACATTCCTGCGAAGGCTTTGGCTACTTCTTCGAGGTCTGGCGCATTTCAATTGCCGTGCGAGGGATCTCTATCTCCACTCAAGAGCTCGCCTGGCTGGGTGGTTGAGTGAGTTGGTGCGTAATGGAGCCTCTGCCTGCAGCAGCAGCAGCATTAGCTGTGGTGTCCTTCGATCGTGGCTCTGGATGATTCCTGATTTCTTGCTTCCTCGCTTTTGCGCACTGCGAGGTCACTAGCGCAATTAAGAGTGTCAGCTGTGTCATCAAGTGGTGGCTGCAGCTTAGATTGGTGGTCTGGTTGTTATCTGGTCATGAAGAGGTTGTGGCTATGGTGGTGTTGTAGGCGGAAAGTGGTCTCGCTGTTGTAGTGGCAGTGTGTGTGGTGAGGTTTTGAGCAAAGTAGAGATTCCGTGTAGGAGCTTAGAGTAGCTTTAGCTAGGCCGTGAACCTTGTTCCAGGGTACGGCTTGCGAGCTCTGCTGTGGGTCGTCAAATGATAGCTGGTCGCAGATGCTGATGCCTTGTTTGCAGCCCCTCATTGTGCCTTTATTTCGAGGATTGCCCTGGTGCGTCAAGTTTCTGCTGTTGAGAGAAGTTTTGGTTTGAGAGTTGAGCTTCGGAGTGTGTGTTTGTGTGTGTTTATCTTATTTTATTTTTCATGTTCACTTCTGTGCCTTCCTGTCCCGGGTTTTGTTGTCTCCGTATCTTTTTCTTCGGTGGTCACGAGTTGGGGTGCAGAGGGTGCAGGGATTATGGTCCGGTACAGAGGTGATCATCGTCTTGTACAAATTGTGGTGATGCTTGGTTTCCTGTGTCCTGAGTCGTATTCTCATCGTATCTGTCCCAGTTGTGTCTCCTGGCCGCTCTGTACATCGAACATGGAGCCGCATTCAATGGACTCAAGGTTTGAATCGCAGCGTCGTTCTGTGAGTTGCGGTGCTCGGGGATCCTTTGACCTGGTGTTTGCGATGGAGCGACAGTGAAAGCGTCCTTGATCAGCTGCGTTTCGTTTCGTTTCGTTTCGTTTCGCTTCGATCCTTCCCACCTGGTGAGGACGCCATAGCCGCAGTTTGTGACTGTACTAAGTCATTTCTTGAGGATAAATTTGTGAGTCGAATTGGAAGCAGGCAGGCTGGTTCTATCGTGAGAGATATTTTCCGGGGGGAGAGGAAATTAGTTGGAGGTTTGAGAGACGTCGAGAGGGGAGCGAGAGGGAAAGCCATGATTCTATGGTCTGTGCGTCACCAAGTTCCCTTCTACTGCATTTGCTAGATGGAAGCAAGTTCTCGTTTCGTTCATAGGACGGAGCGTGTTTAACAAGGATACCGATTGTCTTGTGACAGCGTAGAATTGCAAGAATGTCTCTCCCACTTGAGTCAGACCTAGAATTATAACCGTAAATCCCCGACTCTCGTATTTGAGATTACGAACAGCAGTAGTCCTTGTCGATTTTCATTCAATTGGCTAGTAAACGATACCAAGTGTTTCTTCGTGTCAAGTAAATCCTTCTTCTTATGATTCAGACTGCAGTTAAATTAGGTCGTTTTTCCATGAATGGAGGGTGGCTGCAACCTCATAGACTTCTACGTTCTCTGCCGAACTTTTGCTTGGTCAGTATTTCAAGACCTTAAATTGCTAGTCTTTTGATGCCATGTGATTGTCGATCACTTACACTCGCCTCAATTTGTGTATAGCAGGTCCCATTGGACAGCTGGGAACCTGCGAATTTTACGTGTAAGCAGTATTGGAAGTGCTGCATCTCCAACCAGTCGTCGAGAATTGACTAGTTTTGGTCGGTGTTTGGGTTTTTGATTTTTAATTTAGCAAGGGCGCAGAAGGAAAGGCATACGATTGAGGGCAGCTTTTAGATTGTTGTGGGCTTCATTCACCGGGTGAAACTAGATTTCTCTCACAGTTGGGTCGGCACAGCGGAGAATTCAGCCATGTCTGAGGTGGCATCCTGGGGAGATTCTCCGCAGTTAAGCAACAAGAAGGGGAAGAATAGACTGGCGAATGAATCCACGCCTAGTACGGAATGTAAATTCAATCTGCTGCCGGAGCCAATTATTGAGTCGATATTTAATCGGGTAGAGGCTAGGGGCGACCGCAACGCAATGTCCCAGGTGTGCAAGCTGTGGCAGAAAATGGACGGCATGACGAGGAAGAATATCTACATCTCCAACTGTTACTCCATTGCACCATCCGACGTTTCGAGACGGTTCAAAAGCTTGCAGAAAATCAAAATTAAGGGAAAGCCAAGAGCGTATGAATTCGGCCTTCTGGTCGAGCGCTGGGGCGGTCACGCAGGTCCATGGATTGGGGAGATGTCTCGTGCCTACCCCGAACTCCTGGGGCTTTCCATGCGTCGCATGGACGTCACGGACAATGATTTGAGAATTCTCGCCTCGAGATGCCCCAAACTGCAGGTATTGACTGACCCCTCGGCTGGCGCTTCGAAAATATGCAAATGTACTAGGGCTCTGGCCTGGAAAACTGTCGACTACATAGTTACAAAATGATACTTAGAGCCTGCGTGAGAACAGTAAAGTTCGTTCTTTTTCTCGAAATGAAGCAAATTGTGAGGACACAAGCGAGTAATTTTATCTATTTGTTTATTGAGTGTCTATTGATTGTGACAATGGCAGAAATTAAAGCTGCACAAGTGTTGTGGGTTCAGCACCGGGGGTCTTGAGCACATCACACGGTCCTGCAGGTATGCCGCGGCGGATCTTCGTATATGGTCCTGTCGTCTCACATGAGTTGAAAGCTCGCTATCTTCAATCATTTATTACACACATATTTTTAGATGCGGTCAATTTGTTGTGAACATGTCATCAGTTGTCCGTGTTCGAATGTGAGGCTTGCATTCTTAAATTCAACGATCATAGTCACATCGGTGCGTAAATCTGGTTGTTTGTATCCCTCAGAACCTTGCGAGTGCTTGACATAGAAGAAAGTGATGATATAGAAGACACCGGTGGGCCGTGGTTGGAGTTGCTAGAAAATAGTGACGGCAGATTGGAGAGTTTGAACATAGCCTCTGCAGGATTGGAGGAGGAGAACATAAAGGAGGTGCTGCCAGTGGTAGGGCGCTCGCTGAAGTGCATCTCTTCCCTCAAGGTCAGCGACATGGAGCTGGGCAGTTTTTTTAAAATCCTGGATAACAGCAATGTGCCTGTGGTTGAGCTTGGTCTTGGCTGCTATTGTTCAAGCCCGGAAGACCCAAAGGAACTGGCGTCCTCGTTCGCTCTGCGCTTATCAAAGGTCAAGGTTCTTGACCTCAAGTTTGCCACGTTGAACGCTGAAATCCAGATCGAGCTCTTGAGGCATTGCTCTTCTCTTGAAGAGCTTGAGGTGCATACTATAATTCATGCATTCCATAGCTTCCTAAAGTGTATTGATACTGTAAACTTTGGGGGAGAATTCAATGTTGTGAACTCAATGAGATTTTGAGCGTATTCTTTAAGCATGACTCTGATGTTGAATGCACGTGGTGTGATGAGCAGCTGCGAAGTGCGGTAGGGGACAGGGGAATGCAGGTGATTGGCGAGACTTGTAAGCAATTGAAGAGGATCAGAGTTGATCAAGACACTTCAGAGTACATGACAGACTATATTACACAGAAGGGGATGATTGCCATCTGCGAAGGGTGTCGAGAGCTCGACTTCTTAGTCATGTACCTTTCTGACGTTAACAATGAAGCACTTGCAGCAGTTGGACGATGCCTTCCGAAACTCACCGACTTCCGCATTGTGTTGCTTGAGGTATTGTCCACCCTTCTTTATTCATGTTCAATCATCTACGATTTACTACTGCAGTGTTGAATGAGAGCGGTTTCTGTTTGAAATCCAAGTGATTTTATATTATTCTAATCTCAATCCCTTCGTATCATGCGTTCTACCGTTTTGTACTATTATCGTTAGTTCTCATGTGGAATTTCTTGCTCTAACAGGTTCGGAACGACGTGAAGGACTTGCCGCTTGACGAGGGCGTCCGCTTGCTCCTCCAAGGCTGCCCAATCCTGACACGGTTCTCAGTGTACTTGCGGCAAGGCGGTTTGTCGGACAAAGGCGTAGGATACATAGGGCAATTCGGCACTAAGCTAAAGTGGGTCCTCTTGGGCTGCTCTGGCGAAACTGACAAAGGGCTGCGTCTTATGGCTGAAGGTTGTCGGCAGCTTGAAAGGCTGGAGCTTCGTTGCTGTCCCTTCACTGAGCTGCAACTTGCATCTTCAATCTTAAACAGCTGGCGACATTTGAAATACCTGTGGGTCCAGGGCGTCGGCGCTACGTCGGGTCTAGGTGTGGATCTAGTGACCCATAAGAGTGGGTTTCTTGTTGAGTTCATGGGGGAGACCCAGCAGATTCTGGGGTATTACTCTGCCACCCGCCCTCGCACAGACAACCCTAGGTCTGTGTGCTTGATTAACTATGTACCTCCGGAAGATAGGCCCGAAGCGGATGCAAAGGGATTTCAGGGAAATACTCATGCATCCCAGGGCGATGCTCACAGTTTCTACTCCGACTATGCAGATGGATACGTACGTAATTCGTGCTCTGAAGCAGAGGCATTTTATCCTGGATTTAATGAGAACAACCTCTATCCTGACGCTGATGAGAATGCATTCTACACTGGAGTTGTTGACGCTGGGCTCTACCTTGGAGTCGGCGACAGTTGTGGCTATCCTGAATTTGGTGAGGACGAAGCTTTCATATACTAGCTATAAGCATTTTCACATACAGCTACTGGAAAGGAATGTGCATTCGGGAGTTTCTTTTACTGTTTGTAACCAGTTTGAAGATGGCGATTTGTATGATGATCACGAAGAGGGAACAAGTGATGTAGGCGGGTTCTTTTGGGGTTGGCCCTCTTAGGACTCCTGGCACCCTGTCCATCTTTATAGAAATTGCATATTACAAGAGCAGGTGACAACTAAGGGCTGGTTGATGCCCTGTTCTGTGGAGAGTTTGGCAATGTAACGTTCACAATCTATTCAAGACTTCCCTTGACGTTCCCCCGAGTGCCATTTCCACACCAGAAATCTCAGGCTCTTGCCAGACACTGGATCAGCTTCCGGACGATGTCCACGACGGAATTGTTTGTGAACTCAACTTTACATCCGAACAAGCCGAGCTGGACCTGGTCATTTCAGTGGCCTTTCTGCATTGGTTATGATTTGAGAAAGTAACTATTCACCAATTTGGCACAAATGAACCTCCTGTTTTCAGGTTATTACTGGCATTCCGTGACAAACACCACCTCACCGTGGCATGTGGAAACCATTAAAAACTGAGGTCTTCCCTACCTGCTAGAAATTCTAGGTTTTACAGAGGCTTTCTTGCGTGTCATATACCAACTGCGGATCTCTGGCCCCTAGCTGTGGAGGGGAACAAAGTATTTCTGTAATTCCTATTGTATATGAAGTGTTTTGTACTTGGCTACATCGTCATATAGAGCGTAGCTTACTTGGTTGCTTTTACCACGTGCGACTATTCTCAGCGTAAATAACTCTTCAAAGTTTCTTCTCGCCACCGGGAAATTGAAGTTTTATGCCACAAACTCAAAGCAATATTAGATTATTAATGGAGGTTCTGCAGTGCTTTACAAATAAAATCGCACAACCATAAATTGATGTTTAGTCAAATGTGGACATTTCAAATCGAATGCATCTTAAACAACTTTTAATCATGCTTATAGAAAGACATGTGCAAGTATAAATTGAGCGTCAATGATAGCGTTGTTGAGAACTTTGGTTAAATAATTTTGATTTTAATTTCAATGTGTTTACTTATGCAGATATTTTGGAGAACTTGCTCGATAATTTCATTGGTGATATATTTGTCACAAATCTATAAATATAAAATCGAAACTTGGTTCCATAGGACTGGTGATGTCAGATCAGGTTACAGATTTCTGAAACTTCAAAATTCTGTGGACTAACGTGCATAGCGGATTATTTCCATATGCGATTACTGAGGAATAGGGCCGACACCATCAAGACTTGTAGGTCCAGTAAGGAGTGTCAGGGCTGCTACCCTTACATTCAGTTTCAATAGTGTAATAGGCTTCCATGCGGTCTGGATAGAACTGTATAGTAGCCTATTATAAGGTTATCGCTTCAGAATACGGTTTAGATTCTTCTGTGCGGTTTAGATTCTAGTTGGCACAAAAAATGTTGTTGGAACCTTTGCAATGAAATATACTCGACTTCTGATTCCCATCCACGATGAAAATGTCCTAAGACCGGCGTAGAGGGATGATTCAGAAGAAGAGACCGACAGCAAGAATAACTTCTCCAGTCGGGGGACTTGAATATGGCACGGCTATGACTCGAATCTCTTCCATCAATGCAGGTGCATCCACGGAAGACGCTCTTAAGGGCCATGCGAGGGATAATCAGCAACAGAAACACAAAACTCTTCAAGTGGTCTGGGAGAAAAATAAACAATCAAATTGAAAGACGACCACGGTTGAAGTGTCGCGAAACTTGCGTGGGCGAGCTACTCAAATTGATAGGCAGGCAGCAAGAATAAACTTCTAGCACCAGCTGATGTAACTGTAGCACAGCGATGACTCGAATCCCTTCAACCAGTGCATTAGCACCCACGGAAGGCGCTCTTAAGGGCTGTGCGTAGATCAAATATTGAAGAGGAGCAGAAAAGACAGTGGAAGTTACGAAAAAGGTTTCTCAAATCACAATGAGCAGAAAAAAATTTCGCGCTTTGTAAATGCGCACGTCGAACCACAAAACACGAGTTTAGACGACCTAGGCGCCAGCAGAAAACTTCCACCAAGACAAAGATGACGGTACGCTAAATAACCATAATGAACTTCTATCAAACACACGGTCACTGCTGACGATGCTATCAAATCTGAGACCTCTACAACCACCACTTTAAGTAAGAGAGGGAGAGTAGACAAGGCAGGAAAGGATCCACATACACAAATGCGACGCCCTAGAGACTCAAACCTAAGACAGAGCATTGGAAGAGTTGTGGTGCCGCATGGTTCAAACAGGCAGACACATTGAAAGCTGCGGAGCTTGAGGACGGATATAAGGTCTTGAAACCCTACTGGATGAACGTTTTGGATGTAAAAATATGGATGCACTAAAAACTTCGAAGCATGAATGAAGCCCTAATATCTATTGAGATCCTCTCCTTTTTGCATCTGTCCGTCTTGTTCACTTGTGTTATTCTTCACATTGATTCACTTCTGTTCATATGATCAATTACTTCTTCCGCAGATTTGGTTGTGATTTCATTCTTCTGTTTCATTAATTTGTGACTTCTTGTTGTTATATGCATTATACAGTGTCTTGTCCAAAACTTTTGAAATTACAATATTGCATGAATATGTCATCTCAAAAAATAAATTACATCATCAATGAAATTTTCGTTTGTAGATAACATTTGGTTGAATAAACCTTTAAGAACAAATAACATAAAATAAAATATCCACATAGTTATTAAAACAATTATCAATGTAATATATATTGTATATCTTTTATAAAGGGAACATGTATAAATAGTTAATAAAACAACAAAAATAATAATAATAATAATAATAATAATAGTAATGTTAAAAATACCACAATACAACCCTTGTTTCTGTTTTTGTAGGTTTTCATAATGTTGTGTTTTGAACCATCTAATAATGTTAAGCATTGCAAATATCTATTTTTAATTTGTTCTGCAGTATTGCAAGATGTCTTTGTATGTATCAAATATTTTTTAGGGTAAAAAAACATTCTTACTTGTTTTCTAGTTTTCTTATTGATGCTTCTTTAGTTATATATATATATATATATATATATATTACTTTTTTACAATATTCTTCCAAACTTATAAAATTAATCATCACGTGGTTTGGGGTGTGGCTTTAATAACATGGAGTGTAGTTTTAACAATTCCCTAAAATAATATTTATAATTATTTAATTTTATTTTAGAAAAAAATTGAAGTTGTTCACCAAAATACAATATAAAATTTGGCTTTTCTATGTTTCCACTAATATTATAGCCTTACAATAGAAAAACATTAATAATTTTTCTATGTTTCCACTAATATCATAGCCTTACAATAGAAAAAATGTAATTCTATTTCAATATCATAGCCTTACAATAGAAAAAATGTAATTCTATTTCAATATCATAGCCTTACAATAGAAAAAATGTAATTCTATTTCAATATCATAGCCTTACAATAGAAAAAAATGTAATTCTATTGATAAATTGAAATATTTTTTTCATAGTAATACATAAAATAATATTATTTCTATTGAACTTTTAAATTTTTTTTTAAATTTTTTTGGGAGATTTATGTTTCTTTTTTTTTTATTAAAAATAGTTATATGTGTACATTTCTATCTATGATTTTCGGAATTTGCAGAAATTGGTTTAAAACTTTTTTGGTATAAGACATACATGTAACGGTAAAGTTCATTTAGTGTGTTGTAGTATTAAATGTTGTTTTGGTATGTATGAAGTATGCCAAATATGTTCTTTTGCTCTTATTTCATTTATTATAACTACTTAAAATAAAGAAAACATAACAAATTGGTAAAGGTTATTCCTAAAAACATAACAGTCAAGGTTTCTTACTGAGATGATATATCTCAAATTTTGGATTACTTTAACTTTAATTTTGTTCGATTGTCCTTTGAGACAAATCGTGTTTCAAATTCTACTGTTTTCTTCCTCTGTTTTATAACCAAAATTGTCATTATTATTGTGTTGTGTTGTTTTGATTTGTTTTTTTATTTTTCTTTCTACTTAGCAAATCTTATTTAGTATCCATACATGCTTATTTAATTTTCATGAGAATTATTTTGGAATATATTGTAAAATTCTCATCCACATTTTCATATGTATTGGCAATTGGAATACTATTTATATATTATATTGTATTGGTCAATTTCTACATCAGCTCTTTATTTTGATAGTGCAATTGATTTCCAAACTGTTTAAGGATTTATTTACTAATAACGTCTCTTTGAATTAAAAGTAAAAAATAAATAATAATAATAATAATAATAATAATGATGAGTTTCAATTAATAAATTTATGGAGAATAAATGATTTTTTATAATAAAAATAAATAGTATAAACCAAATAAAAATTTCAACTCATTATTTTATTTATATAAAACTTGCATATATATATATATATATATATATATACATTTAAGATTATAAGATTTTCTTAGGAATTTATGTTAAAATTGGTGTCAATATATATTAGCAATATTTTGGTTGTATGTACAAATGTATCATTATAAAACTTAATAAAAATGTTATTTGATTAAGCCATGATGTTTCTAATATGTGTGCACAATATATTTTATTAGTAATAATTATAAAACTTAGAATAATTGGTACAACCTTTTAATTGAAATAATAAATTATTTAAAAATATAAAATATAAAATCAATGGTAAAAAAATAAAAATTGAAAGTTATAGAATAAATTTTCTTATTTTTAAGAAAAATTTAAAAATTCAACAACCATGCTTGAAATAATTGAGTATGTGTACACATAATAATAAGAATTGATATGTTGAATAAGATTTTTACTAAATTGATTGGATTTTGGTCAGTAGTTCTCTCCTCCTTCTTCCTTGTCCTAATGTGAGTCTTCAACCTCCTCCCTTTTTTATTGTCCCAATACAAGTTTCCTATCTCTTCCGATCTTTCATATTCTAATGTGGGTTTTGGGTCCCTCCCTCTTCATTGTTCCAACATGGGACTTGGGCCTCCTCCCCCTCTTCCTTGTTTTAGGCCCATCCTCTCTTCTTCCTTCTCTCAGTAGCTAGACTAGGATGTTAGAGAAGAAGTTTAGGACCTGTGTTAGAGACTAGTTACCAAAACCTTGTAAATTTAGTAAAAATCGGAATCAACATATCAATTTCTTATAATAATAAATAAAATATATTATTTAAAACTTGCAATATTTAAATGTTTTATTTTTTTTTTCCCCTAAAATTCAAAATTTTCTTTAAATTTTTTTAATAGTTTTACATTTATAAAAATAAAATAAGAATATTTTATTACTTTGGATAATTAAAAAGTACAACATATAATATCTAGATTATAAAAAACCATTATTAAATTTATATATATATATATTTGTTGCATTTTAGATTTTAAGTTTCTATGAATGATAAATTTGAAGCATTATATTTACATTATTTACTATAGAGTTTTTATTATTAGTATATACATAATAAATAAATTTTAATTTAAGATACGTTTGTTTGAGACACTAAACAAAATCCAACATTGTTCATACAAATTAAAGTTTGTTACACATATAAAATTATAGTTAAATTATACTGTTTCTTCATTTACATTTTATTTTGAATCATATCCTATCAAGAATCAAATCCACAAGATGTGTACAAAAACATAAAATGTTCATTTTGTACAACTTAAGCTCTTACAACAATGTTAAGTTTAAACACTAAGTTCTATGCAACAAATAAATTTCAAAAATTATTTCCAAAATTTTTGTGCACAAATAAGTATTTTGCTTCATTGTACTATATAAAGAAAAAGTTTTATTTGTATATTTATATTTTCTTAGAAATTCTCTAGGATTGAAATGGCTACACAAAAGATCTAATGCTAAAACTAGTTTGAAATCCAAACAGAAATTTATTAGAACAAACAAAGATAAAAAAAAAAGAAGTAAAAACCATAAACAAGAAGAAATCTAAATAAGAAAATTTGTGTGTAAAACTATATGACATGGCAAAGCAACAAAACTTTTACACTATTGTTACTATTAAGTAAACTTCACCCCCACTTAAAAAACATTTCCTTCACATCACATTACTGGTACAAACAATTCACTGTGTTAGTGATTCAAAATTAGTAGCATTTATAATCTCAAGTAATCATTGAACAACTCAATTATTACATGACAAGCAACATATAAACATGAAAAGGAATTTAAAATAAATGAATATACGTACCCTAGAAGCCATAAAACTCCTGTCAATTAGAAGAAAACACGTTCCTCGCACCCATTCTGGTCAATTAGTTGTTATTTTTGTTTAGCTAAGTGGAATGTATTTTCAGGGGGCTCGTTTTTCTAATTATGAGGCGTGGCTGAGTGATCCTATTCATACTAAGCCTTGTGCTCAAGTTGTTCGGCCAATTGTTCTTAGCACAAAAACTGGAAATCGAATTAAACATTAATCCCTCCACAAATAGACAAATGTGCATCAAGGTTAGCCTACGTGTATGGTCACGCAATTACATACCAAAACACTGTAACCAGATCAAACGTTTGAACTCCTGATTCTTCAACTCATGAAAACGTACAAGCCACCCCAAAAGAGAAATTCTCGACAATCTCTATTTCTTTGGAATGATCCAGTAGCTACTACATAATGAATAAAACCTATAAAATGATCCAGTAGCAGAAAATACTCATAAAAAATCTGTACACTGTAATAAATACTAAATAATCATGGACAAGTGAACTCGGCTACACGAACTGCACAACTTCTATGCAGACGACAAGCCATCAACCCCTGGCTTTCACCACATTTAGCATTTACAGGTTCCCCTTACCGTAAGCATTAGGCCGCTCCCCGTGAACATGTCTTCTCCATTTCCCGTTGTCCCAAGGTTCCGAAAAATCTAAAGCTCAACAGCAACCCCCCATGTATTCCCCGCAAAGCATATCTCACTAACTACCCACAGCACTACACTCTACTGTCTCCAGTCCTCCCTTCCTCAGTTCATAAATTATCTCATACAAGTACAAAAACCGCCTCAACACTCCCTTCAACACTTCTAAGCTCAAAACCCTCCCAACTCCCCTTGTCGAAATTTCAACTCACCATGGCATTCTCTCGTGCTCGTCGATCCGTCTCAGCACCCTCGCGTGCCCATCAAATGCGATACCTCATCACCAACCCAACTCCACCTGCATCATGTCCACCACGCCACAGCATCTCTCATTATCCCACCTCCTTCCAGGTCCCACTCTGCGTTCCGACTCTCCACGCAACCTATCCCACTCCCCCACTTCATCGAGCCTTCTGTCTCTTCATCCTTCGCAGCCGCTCCTGCCGCTCCTCCTCCTCTATCAACTCCTGCTCCCTCTCGTCCTCCTCCCGTGCCAGCCGCGCGCTCCGCTTCTCCTCCGCCTGTATGTGTCGGAAACTCGTCTCCATGTTCTTGTCGTCTTCGTCGTCCAAATCCTTGTACTTGTTCGGATTGTACCGAAACAGCTTCTGTATGATGCTCGACACCCCTGATGCTCGAGCGCCTCCTCCGTCCTCGCTGTCCGACTCGTACTCAGAGTCCAGCTCCTGCACCCTCTTCTTCTCCTTCCCGGCTGCTGGCCTGCTCCTCGCCACCTCCTCCCTTGCTGCTGGTCTCCTCACCTCCACGCTCGCCTTCCTCTGCGTACCCTCGCTTCCCACCGACTTCCTTCTCATCGCCTCGTCCGCCGCTGGCCTCCTCGTCGGAACACCCATCGTCTTCCTCCTATCCAGCTCGTCGACTGCTTTCCGTTTCAACCCGTTCGCGCTCGCCGGAGCCATTCTGCTCCCACCTGATGCTCCAGGTCGAGGTCCTCCTGCCACCACTCTTCTCATCTCGCTCTCCGAGTCCGAGCTCCCGTACCTCGGCCTCTCCACTCTCCTCCCGTCGTTCGCCTTCGCACTCACCGCCGCCTTCCTCGCCGGCTCCCCGACACTCTTTCGCTTCATCGCAGATCCATCCCTCTCGCTGTCTCTCCGGACCGACTGCGACACCCTCACCTCTGCTGTCGACTTCGCCACCATCCTCTCTCGGACGCTCCCATTCCCGGACTGCGACATCATCCTCTGACCTCCACTTTGAGCCACCCGACTCGCTGACGACTGCTTCGCCGACACTGACTCCCGAACCACACTTCTGTCGTGGTTCATAGCTTTCGAGCCCGCTGACTTCGCCCTCTCCTGCCCGTCTCTCTTTGCCCTATCCGACGCCATCCCCATCTTCGACGCCGCTCCTCGAGACGATGCTCTCTCGTCCACCCCACTCTTGCTCGCCAATCCCGCTCGAGACGGTGCCACCCCCCTCTCCGCCCTCCTTTCCCCATCCAACCGTGGCCCCCGTTCCGCCCTCCCTTCGCTCGCGCGTCGCACTTCCTTCTCCGACCTTCTCTCGCTCTCGTACCGAGGTTCCCGACCACCGCTGTCCCTCTCCGCGCCAGACCCCGCCCTGCTCGCCATCGCACCTGCATGGCGGGCCTGCCCGCTCGCGGATCCCTGTCCCGACGAAGGCCGCACGCTACCATTGCCTGCCACCTTCGCCTTTTGACCCTGTGAACCCATCGAACTCATCGACTTCTGCTTCGCCGAACCCTCTGCGGAGCCCCTGCCGTCTCTCGACGCCTTGCTGGGCTCTGCTCCAGAATCCCTACCCTCGCCTCCCCCGCGTTTGCTCGGGGGCTCGTCCGAAAACAGAAACGAGTAGTCCCGGTTGTCTTTCAGCTTCTGCGCCTTCGCTGCCGCCGGATTCACAGGCTTCGGTTTTGCTGCGGGCTTGCTTCCCGACCCGCTGTTCGCCGCCCTCATCCTGCTCTCTGCCCGAGCTTTCGCAGCCTTCTCCGCCTCGGCTATTCGGGCTTCGCGAGCAGCTATCTCCCGCGCTCGCTTCTCTTCCACCACCCGCTTCGCCACCACCTTCTCCACCTTCCCAAAAAACGACCCGAAGTTGTCCTTCCCTGCCGGTCGCTTGCTCCCGCTCGGCCCTGCGTTCCTCTCCGTCTCCCGCCGCTCGTACCGATCTTCCCATTCGGGGGACGGACTCCGAACATACTGCTTCTTTTGCTTGTCAGCTCTCTGCTTCTCCAGAGCCTTCAGTCGGAGCAACCGGTCCCGCGCCTCCTGGTTGTCGGGCACCCGATCGTCACTGCCCTTCTTGCTTCTCTGAACTTCTCTGGGATCCCGACCATCTTCCTGCAAGAAGGAGAAGTCCCTGCTCTTCTGCAGATACTCCGCCTTCTCGTCACGCCACGACATGCTTCAACCCCGTCTTCGGACTTGTCGCTGTTGCAACTCGTCTCTACAGCGTCAACTCTGCACAAAATCACACTTCTGCCAGTCACTAAAACCAAAATCGCAATACAATGGAACACTCTGGTCGTCGTCACTGATAAGACCTCGCAACTCTTTTGAGTTGCCGGAACAGAGTCCAAAAGAGTAGCTGGATGCGGGTATCATCATGCAGTCCCGCATGCACAGGACCTGAGGGCTGAAGGATAACATTGCTGGAGATATGCAGGGATTCAGATCCAAATAAGGTTGAAATCAGTAAGGGATCGATCTGGTCACAAGCACATGAGAGAAACTGTAAAAAATGGTGTAAGCAGAATTCATCCGAGATTAGGCTTGCGGAGTCCAGCGCAAATCTCGAAATATTTGGAGAGGGCTCTGGTTGCCTTCTTGGTAGAATAGATAGCTTTGATCGTTAATTTCAGAACGCCAACGAATAACCGAACTATTACGTCGGAAACAAATATATAACGATGCGTTGTATGTGATAGATAGAGGATCTCGTACAATGTGTCAAAAGTGCTTTGTCGAGATTGAAATAGGCGCAGATATCACTACTAAAAGCTACGAACAGGTTGTATCTTTCCTAACTGTGTAACCCATGGAAACGCTACGTCACCAGCTTGCCACACAGATTGACAAGTGCCTGACGGGAATTTGATCGAGCTTGGAGGAAATTCGCATTCAAGAATGACTGCTGATAGCAACTAAAGCAAGCGACAGCTACGGCAGCAAGGAGCACAAAATCCACTAACCTACTCCACGTTTTTACTTTTAACAAATCAGACCGCGATCAGGTCACAGAAACGTAACAGAATAGTCGTCTCTATGGGGCGCAGGATGAATGCTTTGCATGGATCCAGGATTCCCGATCTAGGGTTTCCGTAGGGACCCCAAACACAAACCTCAAAGTCAGCAAGCATCCACATCGAGAATCTAAACGAATTCATACTCTCCCTCTCTCGCTCACTTTCTGGTCTCGCAGCGCCCCTCCGTCGTTGCCATCGCTCACCCACCGTAACAACACCCTCAACGACGAGCCTTTTTCCGATCAAATGAAACAAATATTACAGGCACCCAAGTATTTTTACCAGTTGCACGTCCAACGATTCTGCCGAAACTCAAGTCCTCAAGTTCAACAGCGTCACCCCGCTTCTAACACACCAGCAGCAAAAACAACGATCCATAGCACAAGCTCCCCGCACTCCGCACCACTCCATCTCCTCCTCCGCCACCACGCCATCTCCCCGTTTCTTTTCCCATCCTCTCGCTCCAACTTCCACAACCTTCGCCTCCCTTTCTGTCACGTGCTAGAAAAGCCAAACTTCGGCATCGCAATCCCTGAAGCTACTGCGCGACTCGGCCCGTAACGCTCACCTCGCACAAGTCCTCTCGCAGAAGCTCACGATTGAGCGCAAGGAGCGTTGCAAGCGAGACGGAGCTGCAAACCCTAAAACTGAATAACCTCTCGCTGCGCTGATGAACCGCCCATGCGTTCAAAACCTCCTCCCTCTTCCCCTTCCTCCCCTCACTCAATATCTCTTTCAAGTCTTACTTTGACTGGTTGGGTGACTTCTGCTTCAGGGCCTGCGGTTCTATAGGCCATTTTTAATATGCTGTAGAAAATCGAGGCTTTAGAATCCCGGGGATGCAGATGCGGTGTGAATTCTTCTCAATTATGGTTGTGACTCTTCATTTCGCTCAGCATGTGACATCTGTCGTCTCATGGTATTTTTATTTCTTTAATCTTGAGTTGAATGTTTGTGTGTTGACAACACCATCTTTTAAAACTTGGATCTCTTGCTTTGACTTTTCTATTATTTGTTCAAAAACATGAGTCAAAAGTAGAAAAGAAAATAAATAAATAAATAAAAATAAAGAAATAAAAAGCAGGTAAGTTTGTATGCTTAGATTCATCAATCAAGAGTTTTAGTAAAAAACTTGGACAATCACTTCTTTGTCAGTATTAAATGCTTTTGAAATTAATTAATAACGTTTCTTTTGATTTAAGTTCATGTAGAACTGGCTGCTATATTTTTCTAGTTGAAAATTTAACATTATTAATTTTGAAAATTTGAAAAATTAAAAATGTCTGTAAACGTAGGAATGAACATAAATGTAGAAATAAATACAAACAGCTAGTTATCAAAAAAAATAAATTAATTAAAAAAATCGTAAAGAAATTATTTCTATATTGCTTTATCACAGAAAAAAACTGATATAATACACTTGAATTATTTTTTATCAGCAATTAATTTTGTATTTAGAAATGCAAATATGATAATTCTGAAGAAGTATAAAACTTAAAAATAAGTTATCAACAAATAAATAAATAAATAATCCTTAAAAATAAATCTATACTTTATTGTTTACAAAAATTAAAAAATAACAAAAAACAGGATATATATATATATATATATATATATATATATATATATATAATTGCATAAAATATTTAACGATTTTTTTTTTTTTTTTTTTTTTTTTTTTTTTGTCAAGACATGTAACTTGTATTTTTATATAACTGTATTATGATTTTTTTTAAATTTAAATATTCATATTTCCAAATCACATATCAGTATGATATTTTTAATATTTATTAGAACCTAACATTAACTATATTATAAAATAAAATCCTAATATTTTATGAAATATTTAGAATAAAATATATATATATATATATATATATATCTATATATATATATCATGCACTTTTTAAGCATTTTTTTTTTTTTTTTTTTTTAAATTGATCTTTATTTATAGAGTCAAAATATTGATATGTACATAATATTAGCTTTTAAATTTTTTGCAAATTGATACTTTAAGAATATAAAATATTTTAATCATTCACTATCCTTTACAAAAGAGTATTGTATATAAATAGTTATTCAACACAATTCAATGATTTAAAATACATTCATTTGGATAATGAAGAATATATGCATTGAACTAACTATTTTTTACAACAAGTCTATTAAATTAAAATATCCATTAATAATAATAAAAAAATCTATAATATCTATTATATATATATATATATATATATATATATATATATATGGATCAATTTAATTCAAATTCTAAATATGATGTGATTTACAAAGTTGAATATAAGTGATAATCTACAAACTTCAATAAAAAATTCCAGCATATATAAAGACAAAAATCTCCAATTCAAATATAAAAATAATAATGTATACAATCTTTGTTAAGAATTTTAAAAAATTATAATAAAAATAGAAAAATAAGGAAGACAAGAAGTAATGGCATAATTATCTTTTATATTTATTGAATTTTGTTGTTGCATTATTTAATGAAAAAGTTTTGTAAGAACTTGCATAATCTAAGATTGAGATGAAAGTATAATACATGTTGTAGCTTGTGTCTTTTGTAATAGGTATTGTAGGTTGTAGAAAGTGTGTTGCTATGTTGTTGTTATCACACCATAAAAGAACATTTTTTGTACAAAGCTAATGAATAATACTTCTACAAATATGGTTGTGAAATTGCTCTTGATTTTTCAATCATCTATTGCACACTTGAAGTCTTAAGTAGAAAGAAAGTTGATAAAATTTTAAAAATTGCATCTACAAAGACTTGAAACAAAAGAGTAATAAGACAATATAATCATGTTCACCACTAGTGGATGCAATACAATAGCAAAGATGGTGAAGAGGCCTTAATAAAATATTGGTAAGATTTTATATTAAAAAATTCAAGGAATTTATTTTAAAATATTAATTTGTAATTACTCGATAGTTAATTTGGTTTTAGGATGGATATAACAACATCTATAAAATGAAAGTTTAGAACATTGAGAGTATTGGCATAAAATACTTGGAAGCCATTCATATCTTAAAATCTTTTAATTACAAAGCCACACACTTTGTGCATCTTTTTTATGTCTTTAATAATGAAGCTTGAGATGAAAGATGAGATGTCTAAACTTATCTCAACATCTAAGTCTTACTAACTTAACATTAGCATCTAATTCAATAAAGATTAGTATGTACAAAGAATTACCAATAAATTTGTTTTTACAATATTTTAATAAAGAAACTTGTAACCAAAGAAATTGATGCACTATGACATGGCTTGATATTATACAATGGTTGTGCTATAGAAAATATATATAACAATCTAATTAGAATTTATAATTATTACAAGAGCCAATTTTTGATACAATGAAAAGGTTCAAAATTAAAAAAAAAAAAAAAAAAAAAATTGTGGCTACCAATAATATCTTCTTCCAATCATGAACTCCTATTGCTTCAATTGGAATCACTATCCTTAAATTTTGATACGACCAACCTTGCCAATTTTTTGCTCATTGCTTGTTTTTATGAATGTATAATTTTTGTTATCTTTTCATTAATTTAGATGTTTCTTATCCTATTCTAAATCAAATATGAAGAAATTTGAAGATCTAAATGTCAATTTGATGATTTAAAAGATTATGATTGTAATTTGGATGTAGCTTAGGATTAAAGATTTTGTGATAGATTTGCAACAATCTAAAATTGATATAAGATTCTATATTTTAGTTATAATTCTTATAGATATTGTTGAATTTATATCATAAATATTACTGATACTATTAATTATTTAAATAAAAAGAATTAACTAGAAATAAATAAAAGTTGGTAAATTTAATAATATCTTGTGAAGAAGCTTTTTAGAAGCTTGATAGAGATAGATTTGTCTGTATATATGTGTCACAAATATGCATAAGTTTTCTAGTAAATACCTATATGATTATGTAGGAATAAATAAATATAGATAAAAGTAGGTTAATTTCATAAGACCTTTTTAGAAAATCTTCTTAAAAGCTTCAAAGACACTGCTTGACTTTACATATGTTTGTAGTTGATTGGTAGGTTAGAAACTTGATTAACAAGCTAACCATGTGTTAGTAGCTTGCTGAACAAGCTAACTATGTGGCGCACATATAGAAAACTTGCCTTGTAAGTTAAGATACATGTCTTGCAAAGTCAACATGTTTTGGAGGTCCTATAGGACATCACCACGTAGTTTCTAGTTAAGTGTATATATGGAGGTAAGAGTGAAGCCTTCTTCACTCTTGTCAATGTCTTTCTAGTCCTTAGTCTTGTTTCGAGACTTTCTAGTCGTTTTGTTTTTGACAATAGCCATTCTAATTTGATATTACATCACCTTTTGAGTGACTTTCTAGTTCTTTTCAATGACAGAAGAGTGTATTGAGGATTTTCTTTCTTTGAGATTCATGTCCTTCACAATATGTCTATAGGTGATTGGTAGGTTGAAAACTTGATCATCAAGTTGGCTACATGTTGTACATATTGGCAACTTTTGGTACAAGTTGGAATGTGACACACATATAAGAAACTAGTCTTATAAATTATACATATGTTTTACAAGTTGGATACATGTCAAATTTCCTATTGAACATTGTCACATAGATCTTAGTTAGATAGTATATATGGAGGCCAAATTGAGACCTTCTTCACTCTTATCAACATATTTTTTTGTTCTTAGTCTTATTTCAAGAGTCTTTGATCTTCTTGGCAATATCTATTTTAGTTTTAATATTATACTATCTTTGAGTAAATATAATAATATTGCATATTTTTTATTATTATTAATAATATTTTTCATTAAATATACATACACATATTATTGAATTACATACATATATATAATTTTAAATAATTATTAAAGTATTATATATATAAATCAATAAAATAATATGTACCATATGTAATTTTTTATAGTCACAAGTATTTATATATATATTATGATAAAAAATTACAAAATATATCATTATTTTTAGTAAAAAAAATCTCAATCATAGTTATATTTTAATGAAATCATGATAAGTATTATTTATATTATAAGGTATTAATTGACTTCGTTAACTAAGCATTAGACCTAATCTTATAGAATTTACATAATAAGCAAATCCAAAGTAGTAGGACTTAAATAATAAATAAACTCAAACCAATTGAATTTGGACAATAAAAAATTTGGTGTTGTATTGTGATTTAGCTACCATGTAGAAATAATTTATATTTATACATATTGAATATACAATTTATAATACAGCCTTGTAAAAGTTGCATCAATAGATTTTAGTTGGTTACAAAAAATGTTAGATTACTATTTTGAAAGGTATAATGCATACATATAAAAGATATTAGTTTAAAATGGATATTATTAATATTAATTGATATTAGTATTGATTATCACATATTTAGAATTATCTTTGTCAAAAATTGATGGCCATTAAATTATATATATGTAATTAATTATTTTAAATATACAGTGACAAACAAAACCGAGTACAAAATCTGAAGTGCCAACTTTCAAGAGCAATTACAGAAATTTCAATGATTGCTTTATAAATCTGAAAGTTACATGGAATAATACACACAGTCTTGTATACATGTACAAAGTTGCACATCAAATTGATAACTAAATATCCTTCTACAAAGTCAAATCAACAACTATATCTTGTACTCAGTATTGTTCAAAGAAAATCTTCAAACTTCAATATTTAGTCCAATAACCTTTTGCTTCCAAAACAGCTGAAATCCTTCTTGGCATACTTTTGTATAGTTTCTCACAATCTTTTGCATCAAAACTAGGATAAATACTACAAACATTCTCCCACAATTCTTAAACACCTCTTGGCCTTGGAGTGACTTGGCTTAAACGCTCTTTGAGAAGGGCCCAAAAATGTTCCATTGGATTCAAATCTGGAGATTGAGCTGGCCATCGAAGGAGCTGAAATGGCTGTGAAGAGAGCCAAAATTGAACACTTTTTGCCATATGTTTGGAATCATTATCATGTTGAAAAACCACCTTAGTAGAATCTAAGTTGTAATTTTGTATGGTACTTTGCAAGTAGGTTTCTAAAATTTTTTTGTACAAGTGTTGCTCCATTCTACCTTCAATTTGATACCAAGCACCCGGCCCAAAAGCAATCATACAACCCCAAATCATAATTGAACCACCACCATGTTTGATAGTTTGACTAACATGTTTAGGTTCAGGTCGTTTTCCTTCTCTCAACCAACACCAAGACCTACCATCTGAGTTGATTAGGTTAATCTTTGTCTCATCACTGAAAATAACCCATCTCCAATCATCAACGGTCCAATTTTTGTATTTATGAGCAAAACTCAACCTTGCAAGAACATGTCTTTTGGCAAATAGAGGCTTTTTTTGTTGCACACAAGCACCCAAACCAGCTTCTCTCAAACCACGTCTCAAGGTGATGTCTGAGAAGTGTTTACCTGTTTTTTCTCGAAGTTGTTTTGCAGCTGCACTTGCCGTTTTGAGACAACCAGCAGTGACAAGGTGCACACCAAGTCGCTTCTCTTGCTCTCCTAAAACCTTTGGACGTCCTCCTCTTTGCTTTTCTATTTCACCACTAAACTCCCTCCTCAAATGAGCTACTGAAGACTGACTCATTCCAAGTGAGTCTGCAACTTTTCTTGTAGAAACACCACTCCTAAGCTGCACCAATGCTTGATGCTTCAATGATTCACACAACCGAGGCATAGAGATACAATTGACAAATCAACTTTCACTATAGATAGTACACAACAAGAGCAACACAACAAACAAAAAATGCCCTCAAATCTTGCAAGAAGGAGTGTACATTGAAATTTCGAAATTCAGCAAGAAGAAGCAACCAAAACTGAGTATGCACGTTTGTGTGCTTCTACAACACTTTTCTCATAAACCCTACCTCAAATGATAATGAGATTTTTCATCCATGTAGAAGACTGGATGAATATACACAATAAAAAAGTAATTCTATCAATTGACTTATGTGTCAGTTGGAAGGATCAATGAACTATGAGTGTTCAGATTTTGTACTCGGTTTTGTTTGTCACTGTATACTAAATAATATTTATTAAGAAAAAGATTAAAAAAATATTTTAGTAGCATAAAGAATAGTTAGACCATCAATGTAAATGAATAGAGATGGATGATTAAGATCTCTATTCATATTAGCCAAAAGTTATGCCTAATGGGTTTCAAGAAGGTTGTTTGAGGTCTTATTATAAATTAGGATTATTCTTTTGGAGTTATTGAAATATCAAAGACTAAGAGTAAGTTTGAGATTTTTAATATAATTATGGTACAAAAATTGAATAATGTTTAGTTTTTGTATAAGAAATATAGGTGCTCAAAGTCAAGGTATTGATTTTGTACCTACCGTAATTCTTTGAGGTATTATGCATGTATATAAAAGACAAAGAATGATTGATTATTGGAATTAGAGAGAATAAAATTTTGGCTATAATTTATATATATAACTTCATATATTTTTAATTGGAATAAAAGAGATATTAGAAGTTGAATTTAGTGCTTGTATTCTAAAGACAATAAATTGTTTGCTTGAATTAAGGTTGTATTTTGAGCTATATCTTTAAAAAATTGATAAGATTTTGGCTTGGATTTATATGAAATTTATATTATTATTTTACAAAGTAATATAAATTTTTTGATAGTATTTGAATTTTGGATTTTGAAATATAAAGAAAATAGCATTCATTTATATATAAATTAAGTTTTAAAGTACTTGCTAGGACATTTTTAATGTTAGAAAATTTGATAAAAAATTTTAATTGATTTTTTTTGTAATAAAGCTTAAGGATATTCTAGAGTATTTAAATACTTGGGATTAATTGAAAAATTGGATCAAAATATATGAAATTCTAAAGTTTGAGAGGAAAATAAAATCCTTTATAAGTAAATAAGGTATTGTATGGGTTTTTTTAAAATTTGATCATTTTATAAAAATAAAGGATTTTTAAGAGCTAAGACTTTATAAATGTATAAAAGATGAATATATAGAACTTTGATAAAAAAAAGTTGTTATGAAGATAAGACTTTAAAAGAATATTATGAATTTTTTATGATGTTATTGATAATATAATTATTAGCATATGGTTGATTATGGATTGGCATAATAAAGGCTTTTAGAAAATTTATAGATGAATTAAAAAGAACTATGTACAAACCTTCTTAAATATAAAAGATTCTTATTTGTACAATTTATCTCATTATTTTTATATTTGTTTGCCTTTTATATGAATGACAAATAGCACTTGCTAGAGTTTTTGTAATTTAAAAAAATATATTAGAATTCGGCCAATAAATTTTAGATAAATTTCTATACTTAGGTACCTAAATTATTTTTTAATTAAAAATCATACTATAAAACATTAATCCAAGAAAGAACTTGTAATAGATTAGATGTACTAAATTCACTTTAAAAATGAAATATTTATTTTAAAATAATTAAATTATAATAACTAAAAAAAGTAATTATCCAAGAAAAGTGATTAAATATCATAAATAATTAAAAATAGCATCATTATATAAAAACCTAAGAAATTTTACTCTTGTTTTTAGTAGTTACTATATATTTCTTTTAATTCCTATATCTAAACCAATCATTTTCATACTCAACTTAACATTGTAGAATTTTTTTTATTTTTATTCTAACTAAAGAGAGCGTTTTTTTAGCCTAATTAGTAATTATAATTAGTATAATTTTTTTTAAAATTATGTTCAAACTAAGAGTCTAGATCTAGTGCCAAAGCTCAAACTAAGAGTCCTTTAAGATGATATCCAGATTTTGATACAATAAGTACTTATTTCTATCATCTTTTTCTCTTTAGTTTTTATTTTTTTATTCTTTTAATTGTAGTAATTATTTTGGACGTAACTTCCTTCTAATAAGCTTAAAAGCCAAGTTTAGCATGAAGAAATATATTTTAAAAGATATATAAAAAATTAAAAGTATAAACAAGTAAATATATATATATATATATATATATATATATATATATATTTTACATATTTAATAAAATTAAATAATTAATTAGATAAATAAATAAATAAAAATATATGATAAGATATGAAAGATAATTTTTTATTACAAAAAAAGTATTATCATTTTTAAAATATAAATAAGAACATAAATATTTAAAGAAATTAAGATGTTTATTTCTTTTTATTTGAAAAAATATTTCTTATAATTTTTTTATTTCTTTTAAGTAAAAAATATATAATATATAAAAATATTATTATTAATTTTAAAAAATCTAATTATTAAGAATTTAACTTGAAATATATATATTAAGATTGCTTTGATTTAATTTTTTTAATATTTATTTAATTATTCATTTATTTGATTTTACTTCTTTTTTATAATGCCATTCATCACCTTGTTATTAAATTTTAAAGTTATATAATATTTTTCCTACTAAAATCTCTACTTTATATTGGTATGTATTTTTTTTCTAACCATAATTATTATATTGTTGAATTCTTTCTCAATTCTTAATTATTAATACAATTATTTTTAAAATTATTTCTTAATATTTTTTAAAAAATTTCAAAAAGATCCTTGAATTTCTCGAATATTTCTTTTTCTTCCAACAATATCTTATATAGCAACTAAGAAGAATATAAGCAAATGTCTTTGCTTAGAATAAAAAACTAGTTCTCTTTTTAATTATTACAAGGCAAGAATATCATAAAATAATGTATTTTATATTTTATTTTAAAATATAGATTGAAGCAAGAAGAATTAAACTATAAGAAAATTATATTTATTTATTTACTTCCAATTTCAATAAAATATGTCAAAATAATATATATATATATATATATACCAAAGATAAATAAGTTATTTTATTTCTTACTTAGAATTTTATTAAGAATATATCACAAGAATAAACTAAGATAAATAAATAAATATATATATATATATATATATATATATATATATATATTTAAGAAAAAAAATCTAAATAAATTAAGATAAAATAAAGAAATATCACTAAGATAATTAATAACATTCTAAAATAAATTATATATTATCAATGAGATATCACTACAATACAGGAGGCATGTTATTGGTTAAATTTTTATTTTCAATTAATTCCATGAATAATATCAAGAAAAAAACTATGATTTTTTAGAATACTATTGATTTTTGAGGTGTTTTATTTTGTAGCTTAAGGTACTTATGTATTAAAAATCATTAGAGAGCTTTCCTTTATTTTCCTCATGATATTGTTGGTTTTCTTACATATTTTACAAATAGGGTTTTTATAATTTTATTTCAATATGATGTTGATTTTTAAAGGAGGCATTTGTTTTGTATATTATATTTTTTTTTCTAAGGTTGTGAACTTCTTCATTTGTCTCAACATCATATTAATTTTTGAAAGAGACTTTTTCTTTTATTTTGTATATTTTTTGATTCCAAGAGCGTTTTCAATGTATTAATCTTAGGCATTAAACTTATTATTTAATTAATAAAATAAAGATATTATTTTATATTATAAAGAAGTTTTAGATATAAAAAGAAGAAAGAAATAAAGTATTATAAAAGAAGAAAATAAGAGAAGACATGGTTTAAAAACAATTTATAAGAAGTTAGTATAAATAGGATAAAAAAAAGTTTAAAAAGTGTGAAAAGACAGAGAAATTAGTTGCCCATGTGTTAAAAAGATAAGATGGTTGAAACCACCTTTGATAGTTATGGTAGTTAAAAATAAAGTAGTATTACAATATTTAAATATTAATAAAAGAAATTCACTATATAAAACTATAAATAATCACAAAGTTATATTATAATTATAAAAAAATATTAATAAAGAGATTACATTTGATATACATATATGTCATTTCATCATACACTTTGATCTTTCAATAAGTTGTAAGAGTTGTAGGAAAAAAGTTCATGAAGATATAGAAGATTTTCAACATAAGGAAGAAAGAGCATTGAAGACTAGATTGAAGTAAACAAAGATAAGATAAAATTCATGAAGATATAGAGGTTTTTCAACACAATAAAGGAAGAGCTTTGAAGACTAGGTTGAAAAAGACGAGACAAGATTTTCAAAGTAAAGATATTGAAGTTAGATTTAAAGTTGAATTCTTTGATTTCAATTTTGATGTAAACTCCAATGACTTGAGACAAATACAAGAATGGTTCCTATGTGGAAACATAGAAGAGATATCATATGATTCTTAAGGTGTAAAAATCTAGATGTTCATTTAGTGACCATGTTAAGAATATATTGCTAACTCTAATAATTAAGTTGACAAACTTATAACTTCAACAAACTTTACTTAGTGAAGATGAATGATGTTTTTGAATGGAACTTATCCATTTTACTAAGAGTTTTAAGAACTATAAACAAAGATGGTATAGAGCAATTCTATATTACACATTAAGCTAAGATGATTAAATAAAAATTGGATTAAGAACTAAATGTAAACTTTTCTGTTAAAAGTTAATTGGATTAAGAACTAAATGTAAACCTGATTTGGTCAGTTCAAAAAGAATTAGAAAGAAATAGAAAAAATAAAGAGAAGGAAAAAGAGAAGAAGGAGAAAAATAAAATAAAATAAAATAATAGAGAGAAGGGGACAATGATCGCCAGGGCAAGAGGTTACCTACATCTGCCGCAGCCTCTTGCTGATAGGGATGTGGCTGCCCTGGACCCCTACTCTCTTGTTTTTTTTCTGTCTCACGGATTTGGAAGCTTCGTGTAATTCGATGTTACGATTTGAGGCTCGGTGAGCTTAGGACGTTGTTACGACATCGTGTGTTATGGCGGTACTGTTTTTTTACAAGCTGCCATGCTCTCTCTTTCACGTTTTTTCCCTG